TACTACACCAGTAAAAACTTTTAACACGATATAACCATGCGGCACACATGAATGTAGCTTAAAGACGTGTTGTCAACACTAACACCACCACCATCGGTGCCAGCTTCAGCGAGTACTAGTCTTGCCAGGGATGTGGGTTCAAACGGTCTGTACAGAGCAATGGATTGAATAGTGCAGTGCTTTCACACTCAGCCTAGGCAGTCAATAATTTTACGCTCTGCCTCTAACCCAGCTTTTTCGGTTCTGTCCATCTACCACAAACACGAGATCTCCCTTCTTCAATGGTTTCCTCTCAGCAAACCACTTGGTACGCTTGTTGATCGTTGGCAAGTACTCCTTGTACCAACGCTGCCACATCTGGTCCGCCAAGTACTGCGAACGTTTGTAGTACACGTCGCGCAACGGTTCTGCGAAGTCCAGGGATCTAAATTCAGGCTCTTTACACCGATCCATCAACGTGAACATCGACCATCTTGACCGTACCTCGAAGGAAATGGTTCGGTGTTAGCGCTTCGGAATCTGCTGATTCTTATGGTACGTACGTTAGCGGTCGACTGTTAACCATATCTTCCGCTTCAGCCAGGGTAGTTCATCGCCTCCTTTACAGATGGAACCATCCTCCTCCATGTGTGGCGTACCAGGAGGATTGAAGTTCCACTTCATTCTGCTACTCGTCATTGAATCCGCACATTCATTGTCAATCCGCTTCACCCAAGCAATCAACTCCTTGCTGGCTCCCTTGGAATTTGTCCCGTGGTCGGAGAAGATTTCGTCTGGAACTCCTCGTTTGCAGATGAATCTGCGAATGGCCATGAGACATGCTTGCGTTGTCAATCCGTGCACCACTTCTAAGTGCACCGCGCGTACAGCCATGCACGTGAACAGTGCGTTCTACCGATTCTCCTTTCTTCGACCAACCGTCACTTCCACAGGTCCTAGATAATCAACTCCAACAGCACTGTAAGGTCGAAGCTGTCGGGTGATTCGTTGAACCGGAAGTGGAGCAATCATCGGGACCTCAGCATAACAGCGATTTACTCTACACTTTTCATCACTTGCTGGATTTCCGTTCGCAACTTCGGAATATGAAACTTCTGTCGAAGCTCGTTGAAGACCGTTTCCTGATTTGCATGTCCAAACTTTTCATGGTAATATTGTACCGATCGTTTCGTCACTGCGTTTCCTTTCGGAATGATAATCGGGAACTTCATATCGAACGGGATTTCGTCTGACTTCGCCATCCTACCGTTCATTCGAATCACACCACTTGTCTGCGAGCGGAGTGAGTTTATATAATGGACTCCTCTCTTCCCGATCTGCATCTGATTCGCTTTGAGCTATACATTTCCCAGGAGTACCATTACTTCGTCTGGTAACGCCTCCACAAAATCACTTCCGGTCTTGAAAATTCGTCCTGCTGCAATGGTCGCTGTACTACATTATATTCCGCCTTAAGGTGAAAGTTAATGCTTTTCCGTTGATACTGACTCCGCACACGTTCGAACCACACCCAAATTCAAAATGCATCAGTACCAACAAGCATTGCAAATTCGCAAAATGGGAAGTATTGAAATTTTGACAAATACAAAATTATTGTAAAGTTATAATAATTCTACTACTGAAATGACAATTTCAATTCCAAGATTCCAAGGACAGAAATGTCCCGCTGAAGTTCAGGGAAGTCTTGGCGTAGTTCATGGAAGGCCTGCCGAACTTCAGGAAAGTCCTGCCAAAGTTCAGGGAAATTCTGCCATTTCAATTCTTGGAAATCAGGGTTGTCCTGATGAAGTTCAGAGAAGTCCTGCCGAAGTTCAGGGACGGCCTGTCGAAGGTCCGGGAAGTCTTGCTGAACTTCAGGGGAGTCCTGCCGAACTTCAGAGAAGTCCTGCTGAAGTTCAGAGAAAACCTGCCGAAGTTCATGCAACTATTGCCGAAGTTCAGGGAAGTCCTGCCGTAGTTCAGGGAAATTCTGCCATTTCAATTCATGGAAATCAGGGAAGTCCTGCCAAAGTTCAGAGAAGTCCAGCCGACGTTCAGAGATGGCCTGTCGAAGTTCAGGGATGTTCTGCCGAAGTTCACGGAAGTATTGCCGATGTTCAGATAAGTCCTGCTGAAGTTCAGGGAAGTCATGCCAAAGTTCAGGGAAGGCTTGCCGAAGGTTGCGGAAGTCCTGAGGAAGTTCAGAGAAGCTATGCCATTTCAATTCTTGGAAATCAGGGATATCCTGATGAAGTTCAGGGAAGGCCTGCTGAAGGTTGAGGGAGTCCTGCATAACTTCAGGGAAGTTTTGCTGAACTTCAGGGGAGTCTTTCCAATGTTCAGGGAAGGCCTGCCGTACTTCGGGAAAGTCCTGCCGAAGTTCAGGGAAATTCTGCCAAAGTTCAGGAAAGTTTTGCCGAACTTCAGTGAAGTCCTGCCGAAGTTTAGGGAAGTCCTGCTGATGTTCAAGGAAGTCCTGCCGAAGGTCAGGGAAGTATTGCTGAAGTTCAGGGAAGTCCTGCTGCAGTTCATGGAAGTCCTTCCGAAGTTCAATGAAGTTTTGCTGAAGTTCAGGGAAATTTTAATGAAGTTCAGGGGAGCTTTGCTGAAGTTCAGGGAAGTCCTGCCAATGTTCAGGGAAGGCCTGCCGAACTTCAGGAAAGTCCTGCCAAAGTTCAGGGAAGTCCTTTCGTAGTTCAGCGTAGTCCTGCTGAAGTTCAGAGAAGTCCTGCCGTAGTTCAGGGAAGTCCTGCCGTAGTTCAAGAAAGGCCTGCCAAAGTTCAGAGAATTCCTGCCATTTCAATTGCTGCCAATTCAGGGAAATTTTGCCAAAGTACAGGCAAGTTTTTCCGAACTTCAGTGAAGTCCTGCCGAAGTTTAGGGAAGTCCTGCTGATGTTCAGGGAAGTCTTGCCGAAGTTCAGGGAAGTATTGCTGAAGTTCAGGGAAGTTCTGCTGCAGTACATGGAAGTCCTGCCGAAGTTCAATGAAGTTTTGCTGAAGTTCAGGGAAGGCCTGCCAATGTTCAGGGAAGGCCTGCCGAACTTCCTTTCGTTCGCCACCATCGTTCGTAACGGAAAGCCCTTAACCTTGCGTCAAAGATTTTTAACGAATCTGATTACGCAAGCTGTGATTTGCAGCAACTTACGCCAGCGCCATGTCACTTCTACGTCGATAACAGCTTGCGTAATCAGATTGTAAACGTCAAACGCAATTGATTATGTGCGCCACAAGTGGCGGTATTCTTCCGGCTATAACCAGTTCTGGCTCTGGGCCCATAACCTTTCTGCAGAGTAAAATTAATAAGTCCGCTCGGTTTGAGGGGCTAAAGACTAGTGCAAATCTATTTCGAATCAATAACTACTGTTGCTACATAGGTTGAAAAGGTACAGTACAGTTTATCAGTCCATGGCCGAAAGGCAGACCGGGCGATGAGGACGGACAATGGCATGCTGAACGATTCACACGAGGATTCACGTCTCCCGAATTAATTTTGGGTCGAGGCGGTTTCAACGGCAGCGTCCCTCGTAAGCAGGAGTCCAACAAGGTCCCTTGAGACGACACCGGAGGAAGCATGGACCGGTAAGGTAAGTAGCGAAGCAAAGGAGGAAGAAGTTCGACGCAAAATTCCAAACAGTAGTTTTCGAGGGGTACACCGCAGATGTCAAGGGATATCGGGTGTATGATCCAGTCAAGCGTGACAAGCAGATCAGCCGTGACGTGATTGTGGTTAAGGAAGGCGAACCGCAGGATTTGGTCGAGCTCGTTGAAAATGTGCAGCAGGTGCAGCTCATGGAGCTGTATACGATCGAACAACCAAGTATGGGCAGCAACGACATCATTGAAGCATCAGGTGATACGGACGGTAAGTGATGGTGAAGTGACAACTGTCACCAACTCGGGTGAGGTGAGTCTCCATGCAAATCAAATGGAGAGTCACCTCACCCAAGTCACCTCAAATGTCACTTCACTAGTGACAGCGGGTCAGCAGAATAGGCCTACAAGTGTGTCCACTGTGCCCTACTATTAATGAATGATAAAATCGAGGATATTCAACGCTTCAGGAGACCGCAGAACCCGAGAAACGAACACAGTTTTGCAAAATTGATACGAAAGGAGCTGGACAAATTATCGAAGTGAGACTCAAGTTATATGGTCTCATCGTCGTAATTTTTCTAACAAAGACATCAATTTTAAGTACCTTGATAGCTGAAAAGTAGAAAGCATATAATGCTTTTGGATTGTTGGAATCTGTGTCGTCCAAGAAAGTAAACTTCCCTAACACAGGCATCAGTGCTGCAAAATCTCGACTATACACGGCGATTTTCAAAACTCTGCTTTGGTCACTCATTTGAGCTAACAATCATCGTCAAGACTCAAGGCAAACTATGTCAATTAGATGAACATGTGACACAGAATGTACGAAATTAAACGTTTTGTTGTCATTGACGAAAATATGAATGAGATTTTGACTACGTGATAAACAAATTTGTCAATATCGCGCGAAAGTCTGTCAATGACAATGACAAATCTCAGCACTGACAGGCATCGACATCAGAGTAGTAATTCAAAACCTCACTAATGATGATTTCAAACTTGTTCGAACAATCCGAAATAATTATGTTTCGCTATTTATTTTATTTGTGCATCGGGTCGACGGATAATTAGGGGATAATGAGACAAGATGGCCCACCCTAACGAAATTCGAATAAATTTCCACTATTTTGACCAGGAAATAATTCTTCCTATAATTTTACAGAAGCTTCCAGTGTTGGCAGTCCCCCTTATTCTGCGAGTCACGTGACTCTCTGTCACCGGTGAGGTGACAATTGTCACCTCGTGTGAGGTGACTCTCCATGTAAATCAAATGTCTATTGTCCCCTCACCGGTGACAGAGAGTCACGTGACTCACAGAATAGGGGGAGTATTTCGATGGAACTATATCAACAGATCCCGTCAGTTCACTTACTTTGCGTTCTGAGCAAAAAAAAATCAACTCCATACAACAGAGAAAATACTTACCACTAAACAACAATTCATTAAATGCATCCGGTGGCAACTGACTTAGTACGTTGTTCAGATTACCGATCTCGAACGGGATTTCCTCTGCAAGCACAAGTTTCAATATTTAGTCACATTCGCCAGTCTGTGGAGCTCCTCCCGAAACTCACCTATAACATCCTGAGCGGCCATCAGCTCTGACTCGGACAATCCTCCGACGCCGGTATCCTCGGAACTGGCATACGCTGAACTATTCTCGCAAATGTTCAACAGATCCTGTGTAATGGCACCGCTAAGCATCTGTTGCACGTGCTGCTGGTTGAACGGTGCCTGCTGCTGCTGTTGATGGGCGGCGAAATTCAGCATCAGATCATCGTTACGGCCAATCATGTGTTGCTGCTGCAAGATCGGCTGCGACGATAGATGCTGGTAAGTAGTGCCAAGTGAGAGTGGCTGCTGTAGCTGCCGCAGCTGCTGGCTCAACGGAATGTGGACGTTTCGGCTGATTGTTGATTGCGGCGGGACTATTTGTACTACTCCGGGAGCAACAGGGTTGCCTTGGGACATTTGCTGCAGCGGCTGTTGCAAGAGACTGCCTGTTGTTTGACGGATCGTGTTTGTTTTTGGGACAATCTGCACCGTACTGGAAGCGCCGGATACGGTTCCGTACGCTGGCGGAGGTAATGTCGGTTTCGAATGATTAACGTTCGAATACTGTTGTTTGTATTGTTGCTGATGCAGGGCCAACTGCTGCTGCAGGGGTGTGAGCTTCTTCTTTTTGCTCTTCTTCTTGGGGTTACCTGTGGTCGTAGTTGTTCCAGCTGTTCGCGCGGATGTCGCAATTATTGGCTGCTTCACCGACTGTTTCTTCTTGGCGACAACAGTGCCGGCACCGGGTTTCTTCAACAACTTGACCTCGGCTGACATCTTGTCATGATTATCGTGCTTCCAGGCATGCTCGCGGCAAAGGATCAATTCGTGGCTAATGTCAAACACCGGCACGCGACACTGACTGTTGTCGGAGAACTTGGCCGTACACTGCTGGAATAGGCGCTGCTCGGAGTTGTCCGTTATGTGCTGGTAGCAGTGGGTAGTTGCCAGCAGTGCCACCTGGCCGCAGCCCAGTCGTTGACATTTCGGTTGCTCCACGCCGCTAGAAATGCGAATACGTTAACTCAGTCCAAAATTAACAAATTATTCTACACACACTTACCCATTTCTCTTCAGTGCCATCTCCCGCTGGTGGTCTATCTTGCTCAGCATCTTCTCCACATCTCTGAACCGTTTCTTCGCCGCCAGACTGGCTCGCAGCTTCTGTCCATTCCAGTATTGCACCGTTTTGCGCCTCAGTAGCGCCCGCTTCAACTCCAACCGTTCGTCCCGGCTCAGTTTCTTGAGTTCGCCTCCATCCCGATCTCGCTCGAAGTTCAACAGTAGCTTGCCGTTCTGGTCCTCGCCGGACGTCTTCCGGCCGACCTTTCTAGGTCGCATACCTCCGAGCATTGCCGCAGCTGCATCCGTGTCCATCTCCGTGCTGGCGTAGATTTCGTTGAACCAAACGTCCTGAACACAGGGTGCACGCGACAGCGTACTGTAGCTTACCGACCCGGGAGTGCAGATATCGAAAGCGTACGAATCCGGTGCGTGCCATTCGCGGTTCATCGGTATGGCAATCGCTCCCGGGGGCTTCCACTTTGAAAGCCGAACCGTAGCCGGCTGGGCTTTACTTTCGCATGAGTCCTCCTGTTCATCTTTGACCTGTGGTCCTGGAGCCGTCGCCATTGTCGTCGTCGTCACTGCCGGTATCCTTTCGAGAGTCTCGTGATGCGAAGAACGACTGTAGGAGCGCTTCATTCGCTTACCGGTGGTACCATGCTGGTGTTGGGCAGTTTTAGCAGTGCTTGAACGATCTGCTTGCGACGGCCGACCTTTTCCTTGTGTTTTCGGAGTGGACGGGGTGGTAGCGGTTGTGCTGCTTGTTCCAGCCGTTGCCACAACGGAGGTTTTCGGGGTCGAAGGAGTAATGACAGGCGCAATGGGTTTTGTATCGGTGGCAATTGGGGTAAGCGGGGAAGCCGGGGGTGGTAGTGGATCGGCTTGCTTGTGAATAACAAAGGAGGGAATTGGTAAACCGATGTCTTCCTGGGAGGCTGATTGCGCAGGTTGGGGAGGTTTCAGAATTGACGTCGTAGGTGTTCGAGAACGTTGGGTTATGGCTTGTGGATTCTGCGGAATTGATTTGGAAGCAGCAAGGAGATTAGCAGGAGATATCACCGGTGCCGTGGTTGCTGGTATGGGAGAGGGAGGGGGCGGTGGAACGGTTGTGGTGGCAGTTTCGAGACTCATTTGGCTTGTCGGTGGTGACGTTCGACGGATATTTATCGTTGTCGAGGTCGCGGTGTTCTGTCTAACCGTTGGAAGAACTGTACTGTTACTGCTGCTAATCTGTTGTGGTATCGTAATGGGGACCTTGTTCAACAATGAAGGATTTTGTCGGGCAAGACTGTTCCGCAGTGCCGCTATGCTAGCAGGATTAGAAATGTGAGTTGCCGCAGCCAAACTGTTGCTACTGTTTGGGGTATGAAGGAAAATCTTCCCCTGCGGCTGGGGTTGAATCAAGCGAATCTTCGTGGGCGAAACGGACTGCAGTGGAGCTGGTGGAGCAACTGGGGTCGTTGCTGGTGGAGGTCCTAGCAGACTGTTGCTGGAATGATTGAGATATCTCCGCGCGTCAGGAGTAATGGTGGGTCGACCTCCAATCGGTTGCTGCAGGCTTGGACTTTTCACTATTCGCACCGTTTGAATAGCTGCCGGCGATACGTTCGGAGATTTGCTAGCCAGTACTCGGCGGGAAAATTTGCCCGTCTGCTGGGGAGATATTTGAACCTATAAATAGAAGAATGCAATCAAACAATCCTTGTCTTCTCATTGTCGACACAGATCGTACCTGTAAGGGTTTTGTGAATACTGTTGAGGGCGTTGTAGTGTTGTTTGTTCCGGCCGTGACCATCACTTGAGACGGCGACCTGTGGACGATCGTCGTGGCTTGCGGAACGGAAACTGTTCGGAATACGGTTCCACTAGGACTGGTAGTCATTGTGGTGGCGGTGCTGCCATTCAACCGAGGCTTGCCCATTGGCTGTACGAGCGTAACTTTGATCGGTGTCACCTTGCCGGGTGTCCCCGAGGTACGGTTCTGTCGAAAGTGATCGTGCAATTGTCTATACCAAGGTGTGTTGCTAGACAAACTGATACCAACCTGTATGGCATTGTGGGCGCCACTGTTGTTGCTCGTGAGCAAACTTGTGCCAGCCTGTATCACGGGTGCAGCAGTGATGGCGACAGCGGCGGCGGCGGCGGTGGTGGAGGTGGTGCTTATGGTACTACTGACTGCGTGTGAGTGCTTGTAGAGGGATGTGTTCGCCGGAAGTGGTGCCGGCTCCGTGAAGGCATACGGATCTTCCTGGACTCGGGACGCCTGTTGACATGACATGACCTGCGTCTGCTGTGTCGGAGGTGATCTCCGTCGATCGATGGTGCTTCAAAGGTTGGGGGCAGCTGTACAACACTTGCTTGAGTGATCCCTGCAAAAAAAAGAAGAGGAGAGAATTTCAGAGTTGGGCGACTGGAGTACCATCCCGATGTTTCTCGGTTGTCCGACATAGTTTTCCATGATACCTAATTCTGTTTACATTTAAATTCTGGTGAATTATGGAGACAAATGAAAACGTATCTACGCGAGAATTATACTAATGGAACATGCATAAATGACGTAGCATTTTAGGGGGAGCGGGGCTTGTGACCGACCATGTATTAGGTATGGAGTTTAAACATGGTAAAAAATATGCTACGTCATTTATGGATGGCCCTAAGATAATTGTAGAGTGAAATTGAAAAGTTTCCTGGAGGGGATTCCTAAAGTGGTATGCCGAGAATTACGAAAGCTGTTACGGCTTAAAATTTCTAGGGAATGCCTGAGAGAATTATGTTACAATAATGACCCGCTTTTGTCAGCCCCATTTTGAACATCTTTTCTAATGTTCTACGAAACCTATGCGCTTTTTCAGTTGTCTTTTTGCACCAAAGTATATCTCAAACATCCATCTTGAAGATGAATGAGAAAGATTTGAAATTACGGTTATTTGAAATTATTGAAAGATAAAAGTATGACGCTCGCTGGGGCTGGCAAAATCTGGTCATTACTGTATTATTCAGGAGAATCCTGAAAGCAACTCCGTAGATACCTTGGGATGATTCAAAGGATTTTTTTTTGAGAAAATTCCCTACACCGTGGACCCCCGGTAGTTTGACCGTTTTCAATCTGAACACTTTTTAACTTGAACCCCGCTAATCTGCAGGCCGTGCAAACTAAAAATGACTCAAACGTCACTTAGCGCATGGAATGGAGTGAAGCGAAATGGAACTTTGTGAAACGGAACGCAGAATCAAAACAAAACAGCAAATAAGGCTACCAGTAACACCCAGTAACACGCTTTTCTGATGCTCATGGGGTTACTAGAAGTTCAAATTAAAAATTATCCCCGTTAATATGAATGAGGTGCTGTTCAAATTAACGATGGATTAAGGATATCCACGGTATATCCTGTGGAGATTTTTTTTTTAAGGTTTCAACATAGGATTGAAGATCTCGATTTAGGCTAAATTTTCAGAAGGCTGCCACATTCCATTTCCGTTAGAAATCCTTCAGGTCAATTGTAGTTCCACCCTTTTTTTCAGTATGTGCTTCACAATTGACCAGTATTCCTCAATTGGCCTTAGCTCCGTAGTATTGGCCGGATTCATCTCCTTGGGAACCAAAAAATGGAATTTGAGAAGTGGTAGCTTGCAAAGTCCGGTCAGAATAGGCAATCCACCCCAAGTTGATTCAAAAAAGGCAGTAGTCTCATCCGTAGACACTCCTCCTGGTAAATTTGCTGGTTCATGATCCTAGAAGTAACGAAAGTTTCGCTTTTCAGCCCACAACTGCAGATTGCCCAGGAATTTGATCGAAAACTGCCAGGAGCGGATAGACCGGGATTTTCGTGTCGAGCGTGCAGGATTGAATCGCGACGGGATTGCTCCGATGAAACCATGATGTAAACAAATGAATATATTCGGAAAACCAATGCCTACTGTGATTCTATACACTCTAAACTTGATTCAGTGGAATTTTGAAAAAAAAACTCAAAAAATGCTTTAATGGCAGCGATTTTAATGTGCCCGGAATTTTTCGTGTTCAACCTTTAAGCCCGATATGACATCAACGAATATACGTAAATTAAGACTCAGATACCAATCTGATTATTGAACATTTTGAAGAGCCAACATGCAAGTGTCATTAGGAAGATTGCCAAGTAGAGAGTTGTCCATTTTTGGGTGATACGTACACTAATTGTTGGAGACTACTGTATTCGGTCGGAGTGCTAACACCTGCGAGCACGCTCCACTGCTTCGAATCTTCGGATCCAAGAAAGGCGATTTGCCTTGACTCTACTGCTGTATGACTTCGAGATTGAGTACGAATCGACCAAAAATTTCGGTAATGCCGATGTCCTGTCACGTCTCATCGACCAGCACGCGAAGTCCGAGGAAGATTACGTCATCGCCAGTATTCGTCTCGAGGAAGATATCAGGTCGGTAGTCTCGTGTACAGTTAACGCTCTTCCTCTCTGTTTCAGAGTCGTCGCTCAGGGTACGCAGTCCGATCCACTCCTTCGCAAGGTGTTCCGGTATGTCAAACGCAACTCATCGAGCCGGAACTCAAGCGATTCCAAGCCAGGCAGGAGTCGCTCAGTCTAGTGGATGACTGTATCCTGTTCGAAGAACGACTCGTGATTCCTTCGCAATACCGAAAACAGTGCTTGAACCAACTACATCTTGGACATCCCGGTATCCAAAGGATGAAAGCACTTTCCAGAAGCTATGTTTACTGGCCCTCGCTTGACGAAGCAGTAACGGCCTACGTCAAGGCTTGTCAACATTGTGCGCCCAAAGCATTTGGTCCGTGGCAACGTGTTCATGTCGATTTCGCCGGTCCAGTCGAAGGCGAATACTACCTCATCGCCGCCGACAGCTTCTCCAAGTGGCCTGAAGTGATGCAAACTCGGCGTATCACTTCCCACGCTACCATCAGCATTCTGCGTGAACTATTCGCTCGTCTTGGGATGCCCGCAATCTTGGTATCAGACAATGGAACACAGTTCACCAGCGCTGAATTCGCCAACTTCTGCATGGCGAATGGGATAGAACACATTACAACAGCCCCGATCCATCCACAGTCAAACGGGCAGGCCGAACGTTTTGTGGAGCAAGAACGATCCAGTTTACGCCAAGGTCTACACACGAAACAGTTGGAAATGGAACCGAACGTTTTGTGGAGCAAGAACGATCCAGTTTACGCCAAGGTCTACACACGAAACAGTTGGAAATGGGCACAAGGCATCATGTTACAACGCCTGGCAGACGTCATGTACAATGTGTGGATCGAAGACCGTCGAATGCTGCGCTCACACATTAATCAGTTACGAAGCCGAACCGGGACAAATTCAGCACCAAGCCAGTCAACTCACCCAGTCAGCAGTTGTGAACAGAAATTACCCTTGGATGTTCTACTTGAAGCCTGGAACTTGCCTGTACCAGGTCCAAATACGCAAGCTCCACTTCCAGCTCCAGTAAAACCATCGTCTGGGCAAGCTTCTTCATCAGCCAGAACATTGCAAGCTTCTACGCCACAACGAGCATCATCTACTCCGCGGCATGACCAGCCGAGAGATCCTGTGATGAGTCCGTTATCGTCTGTCCAGTCCTCATCAACGTCAACGTCAACATCCGTTTCAACCGAATTTGAATCAGCAGTTGAGGCAGATCCAGTGGTAACAGTTCCTCGGTGTTCTTCTAGGAATCGAAGGCCGCCGATGTGGTTTGACCACCTTTATATAGAGAGAAGATGTTGGAGACAACTGTATTCGGTCGGAGTGCTAACATCTGCGAGTGCGCTCCCTGCGACGCTGAGCTCTCGAGTGACAGTTCATATGTTACTGCGACGATGCTGGAAGGCGCATAAATGTATGTGTAATGGACAGTTGTCATTATTCAGGAATAACTGACGTGTACATTAACTGATAAAATATACACGCGACATTCTACTGACAAGTTAAAACGTCTGTGGAATTTCTCATGGAAATCCAGCAAGTCATAAACTGGTTACCAAACGTCTTTAAAGTTACCAATTCTGAAAGCTGATTCAACAATTCCACGTTCTTTGAGGAAAATTCTTTATTGAATTCTTTAGAAAATACACTGAAAGTAACACTTATGGTAAACCAGATCTGTCATGGTGGTTACTCTTTGTTACTCCATGAGTAATCAGTTCCATAAACCAAATTGATTTTTTTTTAATCAAAACTGCATGGGCGCAAAAATATCGATCTAGGATGTACCAAGAACTTAAGAGAATATCCAAAATATTCAGATGAGTTACGAAAACTTCAGGTAAGGCCTGTACTTTGGGAAGTTTACAGATCTTTAAGGGTAAGTCCAGGGTAAGAAAATCAGAGCAGTTCCATGAACTTCATAAAAAAATCGAGAACTTGACGACAATCAGAGTACTTCATGGCAGTTGCATCAACTTCAAGAACTCTACAAGAACGTCGAGAGATCTTCTGATAAGTTTAAAGATCTATAAAAATGGTCAGATTTGATCAATTCATTGCAGTTCCATGAACATCTGTAATTTTTAGAAATAATTGGGAACTCCAAAAATTTAAGATTTTTTTTTAGAAGTTCAGGGTTAGTTAAAAAATGCAGAAACTTTATACATACTACAAGAAAAATGTCTAGAAAACATTAAATAATTTGTAAGTGTCATGATCAACAGAAAAATTGCGGGATGTTTAATGAAGTTCCGAGAACTTAAGGGAAGTTTAACGCCCCTTAAAAAATACGTTTTGATTTATCTAAAAATTTTAGAATAAGAATACCGAAAACCAAAAATCGAAAAACATCGGATTTTTTTTTCGTGTAAAAACATTTTTCTGACTCATCATGGCAAAAAGTTGGACGTTTCGGTTTAGTTTAGAGTTCAAGTTTTGTTTTTCATGATAAGATAGAAAAAATATGTTTACATGTCAAGGGGTCAGTCACTCAGCACAGTGTGCCGAAAGTAGATTCGGCACAGCTTGGGCACATTCATCGGCACAACCTCGTAGGCGTTGGATTGTTTATTGAATAAAATGGGAGCACTGCTGCACAGCTGTCATTGAAGTTGTTCAGTCAAAAATATTACTAAACAAAGAATGACGAAAATTTAATCATTTTAAACATAAAGCAATCTTTAAATATTGATTTGATTAAAATTTATTTCAACTGTATACTAAGTCCAGACAATGGCGAAAAATTCGTTTAGTGTATATCGCTGATTTTTCTTGCTGGAAGTTATTATAATCGGTAGTTACATAGGTAAATATCGGTTACATAAGTAAATATCTGTTTCTGGTCACTTAGTGTGTAAAAAAAGTGATCGTTATTTGAGAAAAAAATGTCAATGGAATAATTTAGATCTCCGCCTCCACGTTGGATCACCAGT